TCGGTTGTTCAAACAAAACTCCAGGTCTGTTTTTGAGGAGAAAACAGCATTCTAACTTGACTTAAGGCTCACAAGAGTCAATTTTGTGTAATATAGGACCTTTAAGACTTGTCAAAATATACTCAAGTCAAAATATTAATAAATGAATGTTATTTTAAGTCTGTTTTCCAGATTATAAGTGATTGTAGCTTGTTGTGATGCAGCCTCGGGTCCTTGTGCTCAAATCAGGCTCAAAACATGTATCTCGACAGTACTTTTTATCCAATCCAAAAGTAAAATCATGGGGGAAAAAAAACCTCATAAGGTAATTTTCAGCACGTGTCTGCAATTTTGTCTCACGAGATCTTGTCCCATCCTTAAAGTACTTTATGTTATGAGGTTCTTTTTCCAGACCAAGTGTTTGTTTTCGTACCTGACAGTTGCAGACACGTGTTGAAAATTATCTCGTGAGATGTTTTTATTAGGGGTGAGACTTGTTTAAAGAAAAAATCTAATTAATTACAGGCTTTGTAATTAATGTAACTGTAATCTCAATTAGTTGCATAATAATATTTGCCTCGAAAGCAACAGTTAATTTATGTCAATGAATTTTCGTGGATGACTTCATCAGTGTCTTGGAAAGTCTCTTGTAAATAAATAAAAAATAAATTGCGTTTCATTTCAAAATAGTAGACAAAGTTAAGTCTCTGTCCAAAACTGAAGAGACTTAAGTTGTGACCTTCTGAACGTCGTGTACGTCTTGCAAACTCTTTTTTGCACAGTTTGCAGTAAACGACGTCTTTGTCAATACTTCCATCGGGTCATTTTTTGAGTAGAAATTTCCGGTCCAGTAGACTCAGAGCGCTTTAATGCTCCATTGTTGTAGTCAAAACTTTGTGCGTCAGTATGATTGTGGTGCCACGACATGATGCACTGACAAACTGCGATAAAATGTGTTAATATTTTTAATGCATTATTTTCTTTGTAATTCATTTATCGTAATTAACGCTTTAATGTCCCACCCAACCTTTATCTCGTCTTTTTCGATTTTTGAGGATTTCTCGTTTGTCATTTGTCATCATGATCTACACATGTAGGTGCTGTAAAGTCATGGAAAATTTACTTTAAATCATGAAAAAGTCACGGGAAAGTTTTGAAATTTTGTCTGTGAAAAGGAGTGGGAACCCTGCCCTTAGTTTTTATGTTTGGATTGGATAAAAAGTATTTGCGGGAAAATTTTTTGAGAAGCTGGATTCACAAAAAGCAGTAAATAATGTAAAAATCTTGTCTTGTCTCATTCTCGTAGCTTTAGTCTTGAGTCTTATCTCATCTTTTTCGACTTTTGGGGATTTCTCGGAAGTCCAAATGAACCTCACTGGACTTTTGTAACCGAGTACTACCCATCCTCGGCCTTTGTGCATTTCCACATTCTGTCCTGAACAAAGAAAGGCTGGTTTTCTTTGTCGAGTTTGTCATTATTACCTTCATGATCTACACATGTAGGTACCGTAAAGTCATGGGAAAGTCACTTTAGATCATAAAAAAGTCATGGGAAAGTTTAGAAATTTTGTCCGTGAAAAAGAGTGGGAACCTTGCCCTTAGTTTTTACATTTGGATTGGATAAAAAGTATGTGCGGGAAAATTTTTTGAGAAACTGCAGTCACAAAAAGCAGTAAATAATGTAAAAATCTCGTCTTGTTTCGTTCTCGTAGCTCTTATCTCATCTTTTTCGACTTTTTGGGATTTCTCAGAAGTCCAAATGAACCTCACTGGACTTTTGTAACTGAGTACTACCCATCCTCGGCCTTTATGCATTTCCACATTCTGTCCTGAACAAAGAAAGGCTGGTTTTCTTTGTTGAGTTTGTCATTATTACCCTCATGATCTACACATGTAAGTGCTGTAAAGTCATGGGAAATTCACTTTAGATCATAAAAAAAGTCACGGGAAAGTTTTGAAATTTTGTCCGTGAAAAAGAGTGGGAACCTTACCCTTACTTTTTATCCAATCCAAATGTAAAAACTATGTGCGGGAAAATTTTTTGAGAAACTGCAGTCACAAAAAGCAGTAAATAATGTAAAAATCTCGTCTTGTTTCGTTCTCGTAGCTCTTATCTCGTCTTTTTCGATTTTTGGGATTTCTCGGAAGTCCAAATGAACCTCACTGGACTTTTGTAACCGAGTACTACCCATCCTCGGCCTTTGCGAGTTTCCACATTCTGTCCTGAACAAAGAAAGGCTGGTTTTCTTTGTCGAGTTTGTCATTATTACCCTTGTGATCTACACATGTAGATGGCGTAAAGTCATGGGAAATTCACTTTAGATCATAAAAAAAGTCACGGGAAAGTTTTGAAATTTTGTCCGTGAAAAAGAGTGGGAACCTTGCCCTTATTTTTTATGTTTGGATTGGATAAAAAGTACTGGCGGGAGCATTTTTTGAAAAGCTGTAGTCACAAAAAGCAGTAAATAATGTAAAAATCTCGTCTTGTTTCGTTCTCGTAGCTCTTATCTCGTCTTTTTTGATTTTTTGGGATTTCTCGGGAGTCCAAATGAACCTCACTGGACTTTTGTAACCGAGTACTACCCATCCTCATCCTTTGTTTACGACAGAATGTGGAAATGCGCAAAGAAAGGCTGGTTTTCTTTGTCGAGTTTGTCATTATTACCCTCATGATTCTCAAGTAACCAGAGCGAAGTCGTGAAACGCGATAAGAGTCGTAAAAAAAGGGGTGTAACCTGGTGTACTTTTCTCCAGGGCTCTGCTCGCTTCTCAGCTACAAACTCTCGGCTTTGCTAAACCATGAACCACATTTGGTGACATTACGATAATCCAGCGTTGCTATGGTAACTGTGGTCTGTCTCAGCGCTGCATCTTCCAGTAAAGAGGAAACACAACCAAAACTCAAAAACCCAACGAAGCAAGATAAAAAAGAGAGACACAGAGAGAGAGAGAGAGAGAAGGCGGCAGACGGGGACGTACGCGCTCAGATGACAGCCGTTTGTGCGTGATTAGCAACGCCTGGAGCCAAAGCAAACAAAAGAGTCGTAAAAACTTAACGTAGCACTGTCACGTTAGCGCATGCTGAAGTGTGATGTATGACTGAAGAAGACATGGGCGATAAATGATAAGATAGAAAAGTTTTTAATTTATTTATTCCCACTGACACACAAACCTTAAAAAAGCAGGAATGTCAAACTCAAATTGACAAAGGGCCAAAATTAAAAACTGGGACTAAGTCGTGGGCCAAACTAAATATTTATTCAAGAATTTCAACAACATCTGCAGGTTTTCTCTTCTTTTTAGATACGTAATTTTAAACCTTTTGTTATTAAAATAAATGTTTAATAATAGTTTTGCTTAAACATTTAATCCAGAACAATATAATATAAAATAATAACACAATTTTAAATAAATAAATAATGTTTCTATAGCCTATTTGTAGCCATCTTCTATACATATTTGATATTAACTCGTTGGTCAAATATAATTATATCATGGGCCAAATTTGGTTCCCCAGGCCTGAGTTTGACATGTCGGCCTTAAAGCAAGAAAACTAAATTTAGACCTAAAAACCTGAGTTGCAATAAATAAATAGCAAAATGAAGCGGGCAAAAGTTTTAGAACATCACATTTTTTCAATTTTTTTTTACCATTTATTGTGTCATTGCACTCACAACAAATCAGCAATTTGAGTTGAAAAAATAAATCATGGAATCACTTTATAGTCCAAAACGTGTTCTAAACTTTTGATTGATGTGTGTGTCGACTTTTGTCAGATATAACAGAAATCAAATATTGTTCAGAAAGTTTTCATAAATGTGTGGCACTTGTAGGTTGCTTCACTCTTCTGTCCAGTTCATCCCAAACCAACTCGATGGGGTTTAAGTCTGGACACTGCGCTGCTGCTGGACACTCCAGGTTTTCAAGCTTTACCATCTTGTTCTTTTTTCCAGAAGTAGTTTTGGCAGAGCTTGGACGTGTGTTTTGTTGTTTTTTATCTTTATTTTAACCTCTGTCTGTTCAGTTTTTACTCTCTTCATTGGACTTGCATGACTTGAATTGCAATAAATAACTGGAAAAATTAGGGTGTTCTAAAACTTTTGACCGGTAATGTACGTGTTTAAATATGTTGTAAAGAAGATGGTGTTTCCAAACATTGGTGCGCTTCTGGCTCCATTGACTCTGGCTCCAATTCACTTTAAACTGAAAAACGACTTCACGCGCTCAACATGATCCTGGTGTTTTTTGTCCCTAAATCAAGATATAAACATTAACAACAGACCAATGAGGTGCCTTTTTTATTTTTTTCCAGAGGTCATTCCCACTAACAGTTTGGATTGACAACGTTGCTAAACCAGTGACGTGGGCGGGAAGGTGATGACACTCGTGGTTGGAATTCCAAACATAGAACTCAACAAATTTGCTCCTGTAATTAGTAACCTTGACAAACTTCATTTGACTGGAGCTAAAAGTCACACTCACTAAAGCCCCAATTTATGGTCGTGCGTCAAATTCGAAATTTTCTAACTACGCAAACCAACGTGGACAATAAGGGCTGTGATTGTTCCGCTCTACATTCGCTCTACAAACATTTCCGGTACTCCGCTTTCCCGCTTCATTTTGTAAACACGAACACCATTATTAAATCCTTGCCTCCTCGCATTGTGGCGGTGAATTATTTAGCGGTGCATCGACCTCAATGCAGATCCATAAATTAAAAACAATGGCAATGACGGCGGTAGTGTGCGTTGAGTCGACGCAGAACGATAAAACGACCTTTAGTCCTCTTCTTTATACAGTCTGTGGTTGTTGAAGTCGTTGATGTAATCCCATCCTCCCCAGCTCGAATTGTTGCTGATTGTAGCACAGAAAAATAACAAAAGTTCCTCATTTGGTCAAAGAAAACATCCCCATGAAAAATGACCATGATTTATTGAGCAACAGGTCGATACAGTGACAAGTTTGATCTGGTAATAACAAACTTTGCTCATTCGCTGAACCTGTGCTGTGTTTGTTTTCAGGTGAGAGGCCCTTCCCCTGCACCTGGACCGACTGCAGTAAGAAGTTTGCCCGCTCCGATGAGCTGGCGCGGCACTACCGCACCCACACGGGCGAGAAGAAGTTCGGCTGCCCGCTGTGTGATAAGAGGTTCATGCGCAGTGACCACCTGATGAAACACGCCCGCCGCCACTCTGACTTCCACCCCGCCATGCTCAAACGCAACCACAACACCAGACCCAGCTCCGTCAGCGACTACAGCCGCTCCGACGCCTCCAGCCCCGCCCTCAGCCCCACCCACAGCCCCGCCATAAGCCCCGCCCACAGCCCCGCCAGCTCGCCTTAAACTCTCGCACTTTCTGCCTCCGGACGAGGCCGCTCCTTCATCAGACTTGAGTTGCACAGGACTCACCCCCTGCTATTCCTGCACTTATGGTGTCCCATTCTGTACATACTGCTTATGTAGTGCACTGACCCTGTGGTGTCTAAAGAGGGCACAAGTCTAAAGAGGGCACAAGTCTAAAGAGGGCACAAGTCTAAAGAGGGCACATGTCTAAAAAGTGCACATGTCTAAAAAGTGCACAAGTTTAAAGAGGGCACTTGTTTTTCAGGCATCACCATTTCCACTGTTCTGTACGAACAGCATTCCAAAGTTCTAAAGAATGACGCAGTTAAGCTTTAGCTCCTCTGATCCTTTGGAAAAGGTGGAGCTCATTTCTAAGTGTCGATTAGATCACATATGATAAGTCTTAAAGACGAACTCCATCAAATGGAATATATCAAAGATATTATATAATCAAAAGTCTGTTTACAGTTACTGAGGCGTAGGGTTTGATGTAAATACAATGATTTGGCCCCAAAAGGGTGAACTGGCACTTTCTGAGAATCCCAGTCCCAGTTTTTCAATTGGACCATGAGGTGTGCCCTGAAACGGGGGGTATGTGCCCGTGTCCTGCAGAAGTCAGACCTCTGCCCTCTGTAGCCCTGTGGGTTCTGATCACAGTGAGAGGTGTACATATGAAGCACAGACACCCACAAGAGTCGTCTCATTTTTCATGGTGTTGATTTGAGGAGGGGGAGAGGGGCGCGCACACCTCAGGACTGACAGTTTTGTAAAACACACGTGTTCATTTCTCACAGTGACTGCACAATAGACTGATCACTTTACAGTCGACGGAGACGTCGCCCCACTCAGGGAAGGCCTTTAGCTTGAAAGAATCACCCCTCCAAAATCCCCCCTCCAGAATTACCCCTTCAGAATCACCCCTCCTGCCCCCACAGCCCCCACACCCTCTCCAGCCCCTCCTGCCCCCCCAGCCTTACCCTCATCCACACATGTCTGTGGTTCAGTCTCGTACGCATCACGTCCAGTGTCTCAGTCCCTTTTCTGTTTTGTCTGTAACTGTCACATTTCCCACATATTCTTCTGAGCCGCTCCTTTAAAGAGGCCTCAAACGTTCACTTTATGGGGATGACAGGTTTAAAGCAGCTGTCTGTGCTTCAGCCATAAACCACAGCTTGTACTGTACAGAAACACAAACATGAGAAACAAGTTTGAAGCACATAGGAAACTTAACCAAAGACTGGACTGGGAGTGTGAGCCGCACAGACCTCGATCACACATGAACACCAGTGTGAAGTAGAACGTACATATATCCAGTGTGGACCTGCAGGACAGGGCCTGTGATAAAGGGGCTTTATCAGAGCCAGAGCAGCCGAGGAGGGGCCCCCCTTTACTCTGAGCTAAAGCTAACAGAGCTGCCTGTGGAAAAAGGCCTGTAATTAGTGGGTTGATTCAGCCTCAAGTGCAGGGCTGAGGCTGTGCGTGCTCAGGAGGACTACCTAGACAAAGCTAACAGTCTGAGGGGGACGTACCGACTCTTACAGGCGTCAGATTTCACATGGCCAAGGATAATGTAGCTCCACACGTGAGCTCTGTTAGCAGAGCGCGCTCACAGCTGCTTTAGACCTGCCTCTTCCATCAGGGCTCCCACTGTGGTACCAGCGCATGAAGCTAAGAACATATGCAGCCCAGTCCCCCGTGAACCTCTGTCTCCACACGCCTCGATGGGTCAGACTAAAGCCACAGGCAAACACACAGAAACTGGCTCCACTATCCAAACTGATGAGCCCCTTCTCAGAGCTGGGCCTGTGTTTCCCAGAATGCACTGGGAGTATGCGCCCATGCTCTTCTTCATGTGGTTAGATGTGACCGTAGAGTCAGGCGTGTGCTCCGTCCCACAGTTCCACAGTTCTGCTTTAATGCATATCAAATACTTAGTGAATAGAGGCGCTGGGAGGAGGTGAGCAGGTGGAGCTACATGAATGGTGCGCCTTGTGCTCCCTGCTCCTCCACAGCATCTCTCTTTGTGGAAGAATCAGCCCCTTTTAGACCCAGTGCAGTGGTTTGCCATAGAGCCAAGTCCTCACTACACAGTTTCCTGTTCACAGGATGACACTCTGAATGCTACAGCGCCCTCCCGGTGGAGAGAGGCGTGCACATCTACACATCTACACATCACAGTTACACAGTTACATGTCTATAAGAGTTTAGATCCTCCTCGTGCTGCGGGGCAGCGTGCTGGAGACATCTCTTAGTTTCTGACTTTGTTTAATGGCAGTAGTTTCCTGGAGTAGGTGTAATCATTGTTCGTTTGTATGGCACAGTTAGCTCAGGGCCAAAGTGCACATGGCTTTACCCACACACAGGAGGGTGAGGGTGCCCACTGCAGGACAGTGGCACCACCACCTCCACCCACTTAGATCTCCATCTACCCCCATAGACTGTGTACAGTCCACAGTGTACAGACTGTAGACGGTCTATGCCCACAGACCAGTCTGACCTGGACCCACTGCACCACAGCTACTTGAATCATCCACACTCTGTCCACTGTCTCTGCTCTGAGTGTCCATCCTGTCTGTCCACTCTCACTCTCACGTGTCTCCAGAGGAAGTCTTTATGTCCCTTTGCCCCCGCGGCCCCTGAGGCTTCACCTGTACAGTCTCTGATGTCAGGCCTCACCTGTCAGGCCTCGGGCTTTTCTGGAGACACTGCTCCTGCCACAAATATCTTCATTATTTATGTTAATCATAAGAGTTTAATCATAACCTCATGAATGAAATGTACAGTTGTAAGCATTTATTATTTGCTCTTGGTTTGATTCATTGATGTGTGATTTTGATTGCATCATACCTCTAATAACCTGATGTTTTATGTTCTTTAAACCATGATGTAGCGTTCATGTCCGGACCGTAGCTCTGGCCACGTCACGTCCTGCAGGAAATCTCAGGACTCCATTTTCTATCGTGGAGAGTTCTTTTTGAGGATGTCAAACTTTTACATGTTCACCCAACAATAACAAATCTTTTCCAGTCCGACCAGCTAATCACAGAAGTGTAAATAAGTCGACATTTTGCTAATTGTAAAGAATAGTGAATTAGACGATTTTGTAGAACTAACCCAGTTGAGATAGAAACGCCACATTAACCCGTAGACGACCCTGTGCTGAGTCATCCAGGCCTGACGCTCGTGTGTGCCAAACTCACACAGTAACCACCCGACCCCTGAGGTGACCTATGACCTTTAACCTGTACAGTTTTCTAGAGCATGTTGCGTTGTACAGGTTTGGGACTGCTGCGTTTTTCACGTGCGGATTCCCAGCACACATCCGGTTCGCTTATGGACCGTGTGTGTTTTTGTTTTTTCTTTGATGATTTGTGCCGTACCACACCAAGCGACGTGTAACTCCACGAAGAACCGCCCACCATTCCAAAGGACAGAAGATCTCTCCGCTCTCGATGTGCTGCTTCCACCGCGTTGGTCAGAAATAGTGCTTTTGTCGTGAAGTGAGGTTTTGTAGAAAGTTGTGTACATGGTACCCTCCTCTTTGATGTCCACGCTTCCTATGGACCAGTCTCTCCTCGTGTCTGTAGTGCGCAGTTTAAGCCAATAGAAAATGACCAGCGGAAATGTCGATATCGATATCAGCTCTCCTGCTTCAGCGCCTGCTTGAGTTGATGACGCGGACTGTGTAGGAAGCGAGCACGGGCGCGTTTACGGCTCCGTCGAATCTGGCTCCGATTCACTTTGTATTGAAAAAAAACAAAAAAAACATGGCACCTTTTTCTGTAACTGCTGCTGTCAGGCTCATCATTTTGGTCTTAAAAACTGCACCTTGTGACTTTTTGGTTCATGATCCGTCACCTGCGTGTTTCCATGGAGATGTTATTGCTCTGGAATGTTCCACGGTGTGACATTAAACAGCTCTACATTACATTTATCCAGTTATAAGTGGCTTTAGAGCTCAAAAATAACTAGACAAACTTGCATTCTGACTGTGAGCGGGGTCGCCTCTCCACAGATCTGACCTGTAACTTGGTCTGGTTGGTTACATGCCGTCATTCCGACATACCGCCACTTCAACGTTGTTGTTTAATTGTCAGAGTGATGGCATTTCCAATTTTTTTAAAAATCAAACGTCCCTGCAATTTGACTTTTTATTTTCCCTGATTGGAGTGGCGGCACTTTAGCTTTATTTTATTTATTTTTTTAAACATTCCCTCTTTCCAACACACAAGGGAAGTATTAAGTTGCGGCGACACTCTTTTCATGGACTCACAGCGTAGGAGGCGTGGGGCGTGCAGCATGGTTTAGTCCTGGTTAAATCCTGGTTTAGACCTGGATTAGACCTGGTTTTAGTTCTGATTTAGTTCTAGTTAAACCTGGTTTAAGTCCTTATTTTAGTTGTGGTTTAGTCTTTGTTTAGACCTGGTTTAGACCTGGTTTTAGTTCTGATTTAGTCCTAGTTAAGCCTGGTTTAAGTCCTTATTTTAGTTGTGGTTTAGTCTTTGTTTAGACCTGGTTTTAGTCCTGATTTAGTCCTAGTTAAACCTGGTTTAAGTCCTTATTTTAGTTGTGGTTTAGTCTTTGTTTAGACCTGGTTTAGACCTGGTTTTAGTTCTGGTTAAGAGGCAGGGCCCACGCGTTGTACACAAGACAAAAAAGGTGACGCTCCAAACTATGAGTTGGCAGTCATAATGCCGACATAAAAGGTGTCGGAATGGAGGGTTGTTGGAATTATCAAATGTCGGGGTCTGTCGGAAAGGTCTGTACCCCGGTCTGGTTTGGTCTCCATGAAGATAAAAAGGTGTAATGCCATATTGTCAATGCCAATGAGACGGAAAAGAAGTAGAAACATGTAAAAACTGGGACATTTTCTCCAATTTTTCCTCGATTGTGTCAGACTTACTACCGCAAACAGAGCCCAAAGGAAGTTGTCATTAGAGAATACGTACATAATTGGGCTGGATATTTTATTTGGCATTAACAAAAACATTTTAAGCAGCCTAAAATTGCGGACGTGGTCTAATCTCGCTCAAATTTTAGACAATTCCTTTCCGCTTCTCCGTGTTTAGAGTTTAAGAAACGTCCACATCTTGCGGGATTTGTCGGCGGGAATGAGACAGAATATCGTAGATTCAGGCAAGAGCGGGAATGAAAATTACAATTCTTTGCAGGCGGGAGCGGGAATGAAAATCCTGTCCCATCAAATCTCTAGTTGTCATTGCATCTTTCCAAACATCTTCCTTGTTTGTGACAGTTTCCAGACAAAGCAATAACATTTCCACGGAGAAAAAGCATCTGACGGACCCTCCACGAGAAAAGTCACACAACGCACCATTAAAATATTCGTATCAACCTGCTCTGCACGATCCTGGTGTGTTTATTTTGCTATTTAATCCGTAGATCTATTCCAGAATCCTCGATGAGCTGCGTTTGACTGGAGCCGGAGCGCCGCGAACGACGACGTCACGCTCCCTCGGGTTCGCTTCTTTACACAGTCTGTGGTCGGTGATAAAGAATGATTTTTGAATGAGAGGAGCTTCGTTTCGTTACGGCTCCGATTCCAAATGATGTTACCAAAGGTTTGAAGGGAACGTTGAATGTCTCAGAATGCAGATGTGTTCTTGTCATGGACCTTTTTCTACGAAGAGCAAACCCAGTGTAATGAAAGTGAGTTTGTGAGTGTGTTTAGGTAGGCCTTGCTCCTATCTCTGTGTGTGCTCTTATTGTACAAAGCTTTCCGGAGTGTTCCTTCTTTAGAACGTTCTGTGCAGCAAATAAATATACTTTAAAAACAGGGTGACCACTGAGAAATTCCCTAAAACGACGGAATTTTCTGTTTTCCGATTTGTTACGATGTCGTTTCCTCGTCGCGAACGGACCTGGAGTTGCGTTTTGTTTCATTTTCACATGTTTAAAACAAAAAACTCTACATATTTAGTTCAAATTCTTCTCTTCTCAAACTGAAAACGCTCAGTTCCACCTTGTGATGTCACGTGGTACCACAGGAAGTGCTCCAATGTGTTTTTAAACTCCATACGCCTTCACGAGAGTCATTCAGATCACATATCAGACTTGGAATTTCCAATTTTTACTGAACTAAAAAGTAAAACTGAGCGCTTAACTTGAAAATTACTAGGGATTTATGACATCACAAGGTGGACCAGAGCATTTTTGGCTTTGGAGATGTAAACAGACGAATGTGAATGAAACAAAACACAACTTCAGGTCTGTTTTCGACGAGGTAACGACATTATAACATGACTTTAATTTAAGAAAAGTACATTTTGCTTGAAACTAGAGCTTTAAAGTTTTAATTTAATCTTTTTGAGTGAAGAAAACTCAATTTACACGTTAATTTAAACTCAAATAAGACAAATTCTGAACCAAATTCCGAATCTTAAGTAACTTATTTGCATTTCTTTGGCGTAACTTAAATTTATACGTTTATTAAAACTCGAATAAAACAAATTCTGAACCAAAATCTGAATCTTAACTCACTTATTTACAGTTTTTTGGTGTTACTTCAATTTATACGTTTATTTAAACTCTAATAAAACAAATTCTGTACCAAATTTTGAATCTAAAGTCACAAATTAAATGTATAAATTGAAGTAACGCCAAAGAAATGCAAATACAACTCGAATAAAACAAATTCTGAACCAAATTCTCAATCTTAAGTCACTTATTTGCATTTCTTTCGCGTTACTTCAATTTATACGTTTATTTAAACTCAAATAAAACAAATTCTGTACCAAATTTTGAATCTGAAGTAACTCCAAAGAAATGCAAATAAAACTCGAATAAAACAAATTCTGAACCAAATTCTGAATATTAACTCACTTATTTACATTTCTTTGGCGTTACTTCCAGTCAAATGAGCCTAATTTTCAGCACTTATGCCATTTCGCAGTGGTCACCCCGGCGATTTTATCTCCAAGGGATACAGCAGCTTTGGCTCGTAGCGGTCTGTGTGTACCTCAGTGTTCTGCTGTGTACCTCTGTCTCTGCCCATCACCATCAGTTGCCTGTGTATGACCATGGTGCTGCTGTTCTGCACCATTAAACCCACCAGTGTAAATACTCCACTCAGCTACGGCCAGTACATCCTCGGACCTCACTAATCTTCAGGTGTCAAGAACTTTTTTTTCCCAGTTTCAAGCCAAAATCACCACTACTTCAAAGTATTACAGTTGTACAGAGCCGGTTTCTCACATGTACAGGCTTTGTGCTGGTCGAGCTGCTCTGCTGTACCTTTCTATGGCATTATTTTTTACATGTTAGACGATATATATGGTGAAAATGTCCTATGCAACTATAAAAATAACAGATTGTTGAAAAATGTATGTTGTCATAACTTGTATGCATGAAATAGTGAAGTTTACATTTGTAAATAAATTCATAAAATAAGTGGAGAATCTTTGTGTTTGGTCTTTTTTATTGAAGCAACAAACAGGAAATGTGATCTAAATATAAATATATTAATAAATTGTCGCTAAACATAGACAAAACTAAATTTATGATATTTGCAAAACGAAAAGTACAAAATCATGTACGAATTATGCTCAATAATACACCACTAGAAAGAGTCTTTGAAAATAAATTTTTAGGAGTAACTCTAGACCATCATTTAAACTGGAAATCACATAAATAAACTTAGAAATAAATTATCCAAAGTGATCACAATTATATATAAATATAAATTTATGAGCCCGGTCAAGCAGAAGTAAACAACAAGGCCAAAAATTCAAGTTAATTCATCTGATATAAAAATGTATTGAACAGATACATATGTGCTCTAGTTTATCAAACTGTTGACCTTTTTTCTGTTCCATTTTTGGTTCTAAAGTTCCATACGTTTTAAACAGACCATGTATGAAACATGGAACAAAAATTATTTCCCAAATTTCAAAGACCTGCAAATCATGTAAATAAATGGAATGTATAAAAAAAATATCGAATTGTGTTATTCGATCTTTGAACTGTTGATGAAGGTACATGATTTAAAAAAAAAAATTTTAAAATGATAAAAAATTTGCTTGGAAGGACTGACATATTTTATAGAAATAGTTTCCTTTTATTTTATTTTATTAAAGTATTCGGAAGAAAAAAAGCGACAAATTATGTAAAATCCTGCACCTTCTACTTGTTTGTACAATTTTCCCTCCGTTACTTTTCCCTCCGTTACCATGAACTTTCTTAATAAAAAATCTCATGAGTCAAAAAGTAAGAGGTTTTTCAACCTAATCTTGTACCATATGGTAGAAAACTATATGAAGCAAATATTCAAACCAGTTTGTTAAGGATATGTAAGTGAGAACCAAGAGTTATCACTGTTTGGATTTATTGTCCAAAAAGTGCTGCATATTTCATTTCCTCCGTTACCAACATGAGTTTTTAAATTTTTTGTCAACAACTTGAAAGAATATCACAGGTTTAACTTGACCCTGTTGGAGTGTAACTCTTTCCTACATTCTGATACTTTACTTATTTCAATAGTTCCTCTAGTTTCTGAATAAGAGACATTTGAATGTAAAAAGTCTGCCCCTGTTTCCCTCCGTTACCACTTGATCGGACCCATATTACAAAGGTCCCATATTATGTTATTTTCTGTTAATTTGAAAACTATCTCTTCATGACATCACAAGGTGTAAAAGAGCATTTTGAGCTTTGGAGATGTAGACAGACATAATATAAAGAGTTACTCAAACATGTGAATGAAACAAAACACATCTTCAGCTCACAAGCTTCAATTTTGCGCAACAGCGTCAGTCCATATGAAATCAGCCGCCCTCCCCTATGAGCCGTCTCTGATTTGGCTGAAAAAAATTCCAAAAATTTCTAACATTACCAAATGAAAGAATCTCAGATTTTAGCTCAATCCCTTACACCGTTCCTGAGTTATGTACCACAAATAATCTCCAATTGTCTTCCTTTATTAGAAGCAAATAGTTTTTAAGGTTATTAAAGGTAACTGAACCTTTCTATCAGGTGGAAAAGTCCCTAAACTCCACCAAAAATGACCTGTCAGAGCTCATTTTCAAAAATTCAGTTTGAAATGAAATGAAGTTAATAGTAGATGTTTTTATTACTTTAAACTAATCAGAATATGCCAAAGTTTCTCTGGTAAAAAAAAATTATCAACATCTAACTGTGCCACATGGGGAACAGAGGCTCCAAAAAGAGGGGCCAAAAAGATCACATTTAGTCTGTGACCATATTTGAGGCTCTACACCGTCCACATGAAAGCTCAGAAAAGTGTGGGATTGTTGTCAGAAATGGTCATTCTCTCAAATATTCTGATTCAACAGTTAGTTTGTAAATATCTGCTTGGAGAAAATAGATCTTGGAAATCAAAAATTTAAAGAAAAAAAAATTTGAGCAGCAACTACATGTGAAAATTTGGGGGCCCACAGCGCCCCCCTTAATAAAGATACTCAATATTTGACAACAGATTCAAAATCTATGACCAAGAATCTTCAAACATGTTTATAGATCAAGCCTCAAAATTTCAATGGGCCATAACTCAGGAACGACTCAAGGGATTGAGCTAAAATTTGAGATTCTTTCATTTGGTAATTTTTGAAAATTTTGAAATTTTTAGAATTTTTTTTTTTCAGCCAAATCTGAGACGGCTCATAGGGGAGATTCCATGAAAACGGCTGATTTCATATGGACTGACCCAACTGTAATACTAGAGGACAGGGCTGGGTATCGTTAAGAAGTTGTCAGTACAGTACCGTATTTTTTGGACATTATCAGTTATGTTGAATTCTCTCGTCTATTTTCATACATAAGGCGCACCGGATTAAAAGTGTTTTACTACACGAGACTACCGACAATCCAGCAAGCGGTGCAGCTTCGTAGCTTATCAAAGTCGTACTAAAACATTCTGACAGATTTTTGAGCGCTGTGTACCACATAAAATCGGTTCGAGGTCAGTAAGCACAACCTTAATTAATACATAAAACACCAGATTATAAAGCGCACTGTAAATTTTTGAGGAAATTAAAGGATTTTAAGTGAGCCTTATAGTCTGAAAAATAAGGTACATACCTCGATACATAGGCCATGATACGATACGGATCTCGAAACCGTACGCTTTTGATTCGATACGAGATATTTCAAAATGACTGAATATGTTTAAATAAAAAAATAAAGGCTAAATCTTGGCTGTGATACTAAGGCTACGTTTATATGATGACGGTCTGAACAGAAGACGCAAAAGTGCCGTCGCGTCTTCACTTTATATTCCGCGCTTAGACGAGCGTTGTCTGCGTGCATACGGTGATGCAAAACTTGTGTGGAATTCGATTTGTATTCATGCCAGGCGGCTCGGAGGTGACGCTCAGTGGTGATGTAAGTGACGTAAACGTGTACGTGAGAGTTTCGCGTCTTGGGCAATGTAAACGGAAACACTACGGCGGAGTGTATTCAACTTTTCCACTCTGGAGGGTAGTTTCAGATTTTTGTGTTTTTAAACCCCAAAAACGCCGTCACCGTCTAAACGAAAGACACTTCCCATAATATATTTTGTTGTTTTAACCTGCAAAAGTCTTTGTTAAACCACTTCCTGTGCAAAGGTCACATGAAACATTTGACTCAAAACAGTGTAAATGTCAAATGTGTCTCATAAAACATTTTCCTTTCTCTGAACAAACAACAAAACTGTAGCTCTGAAATTTAGTAAAATACAGCAAAAAATTCTCTTGGTGATGTATCGATACAGCAGCCCACGATATCGATACTGTATCACCACATTAAACGATACGATACATTGATATTTCGATATTTTTGCACACTCCTACTAGAGCAGGGGTGTCAAACTCAAAATCACAGTACGTAACTCCGGTACATGTAATCTGTTACTCCCCAACACTGCTCAAATACCTTGGCACGTGCACTTTAAGTATCCAGGTTTACAGAGCACTGGCACTTTAACTTCTTGTAAATGTAGGGTTTAACTCGTGTTTGTTTTTTGTATTAATGCTTGGTTTGTGATTACTAATTTGATTTGTTGTGTTTTAGTTAGGGTTTTGTTGAATCCTGCATTTATGACGGTTGAGTGATGTGTAGTTGTGTATCAAGAAGGGAACAAGAAAAATGAAATAGTTTTTAAATGTCCAGAAGATTAAATAAAGATTTGTCACTTTTATACCACATTGCCCTTGTCCTTTTTTATGCCAGAACAGATTCTGTGAGTAATAAGGGGATCGTTCAGTCGGCAATATTACATATAAACAGTGTTTAGGGGAGTAACAGATTACATGTACTGGAGTTATGTAATCAGAGTACAAATTATGAGTAACTGTATTCAGTTACAGTTACAGTTACTTTGTTGAAATAAATGGATTACACGGCGGGATTTTCCTGTTTTCACATTTGGGGCTATATCTTTTTTTTTTTTCAGTAATTCCACTCATTGCCGGAAACTAAACCAGAACTAAACCAGGACTAAAACCAGGTCTAAACTAGATCTAAACCAGGACCAGGACTAAAACTAAAACAGGTCTAAACTAGATCTAAACCAGGACTAAACCTGGTCTAAAACCAGGACTAAAACCAGGACTAAAACCAGGTCTAAACCAGGATTAAAACCAGGTTTAAAACCAGGATTAAAACCGGGTCTAAACTAGATCTAATCCAAGACTAAACCTGGTCTAAAACCAGGACTAAAACCAGGCCTAAACCAGGACTAAAACCAGGTCTAAACTAGATCTATACTAGATCTAAACCAGGACTAAACCAGGGCTAAAATCAGGTCTAAAACCAGGTCTAAAATCAGGACTAAAGCAGGACTAAAACCAGGTGTAAACTAGATCTAAACCAGGACTAAAACAGGATTTAACAGGACTAAATCCTGCTGTGTGGACGTGTTTCTTCTTCTATCAATAATATTTTTAATTTGGTTCAGTAAAGTCTGGACTTTTTATTTTCTTTTATCAGACAAAACTTCTTATGTTACGATTTCCTCGTCTTTGCTTCTCTACAGCAAATCAAGTAATCCAAAGTATTCAGATTACATTACTCACTTTAAGTAATTTAATGGATTCTGTTGTAATCTGTAGGGGAATACATTTTAAAAGTCACCTTCCCAACATTACATATGGAATATTCCAGGCCACATTTTTATAGACACGAGCAGCTGCAGAACACGAGAACATGTACAAGAAAACTGAATGCCTGTTTTCTGGTCGTTGTCATTACTGCAGAGTTATAACTCAGCCTATGCACATAAAAGCCTAAACATAAAGGTGTAAACAGTTCATAGAAAAAGGGGAAGGGCCGTTTCCTTTTGCTCAGTGAGGTCACCGCTCACAGAATGCTCCATTATTGAACCCATTCAGATTTCCCTATTTTGCTTCTGACAGGTTCATCCTGTTCCCTGGATGCACCGAGCAAATATTTACAGCTGCGG